TGAGCTGGGAATGAGGGAGGATCCCTGTGCTCCCATTCCCACTCCTCATAAGCAGGAAACTTTGTGCTGAGAACTTGCTATTTAAGGGGCCTCTAGGGAAGTTTGGCCAGAAAGGAGCCATTTGAAGAAAGAGAGTTTAAAATTAGCTAGCCTGGGTGAACGGAGGGGTCCTGGTGGTGGGGTGAGAGGAGTAGGGAGTGGGAAGATATGTGGGGAGGTGAATGGAGGCAGAGAGTCCTGTGAGGCCACCTGGGCTCTGGGTCTTGGTCTCCTATTGACCCCAACCATATTCCACCATCCCTGGGAGGAGGAAATGAGCAGAGGTGGAGGCAATGCCTGGACCCCAGGGGTGGACTCCAGTGGTGACACTTCATCTGAATAGACTTGTCTCAGGGGATGGGATGGGTGCCCAAATCCTCTTGTACTTTGCCTGGCATCCTGAACTGCCAACCTGGAGGAGTCGTAGGGAGGCTTGAGTTTTATTTTTTTATTTTTTTTAAATTTTTGTGTGTGTGTGTGTGCCCAAATTTATTGAAAATATTACAGCACAGCAAACAGACTCAAACGGCTCCACGTGGTGTTTTGAAATTCATCCCAACTGTGGGCTGAGTGACCTGGAGGTTGGACAGACTGCCAAAGTCCAAGAGTTTCAGCATTTCCTTAGTATCAGGATCTACTTCAGTGATCTCCTGATCTAGGGCTGAAACCTCTGGTACATAATTATCTCTCCTTTCTCTCTCCTCCTCCTGCAGCTTAATGGAGATGCCTCTCATAGGCCCTCTCTGAATTCCGCTTCATCAGATGTGTGACATAGCCTGCTATCTTGTTCTGGAGTTTCTTGCTGGGAATAATGGCGATCTCCTCGCACACACGCTTGTTCGTGTGGAAGTCATTACTCAGGCGCGTGTAGTATTTCTCAATGATGACCCAGGCCACCTTCTTCATGGTTTTAGTGCGAATGCGGCCCATGTTGGCGGGTCCTTGGTGAAAGAAGAACTAGGAAGCACCGAGTTTTATTTTTTTTTCTATAATTATATTTTATTAATTTTCATAAACATTTACAGAGATTTTGGGTTTCCATTCATTCATTGTTGCACTATTCTCTCTACCCTCCTCCGAGTTTGTTCTTGTCCAAATGCCACAGTGCTTGTCAAAGCCAGTTCTGATTAATCTCCTTTGTCAGTGTGTCCTTTGCCATTCCCTATCACTCCTCCCTGAGAGAGACTTCACCCTGAGTCATAAGGAAAAGGAGATGGCGTATTCTCTTAGCTACTTCCTGCTGAAAAGGGACGCTGTGGGTTTCAGGGTGAAGATCTTCTCTCACTACTCTAAAGGGCCCCTTTGGCAGTAGGAAACACATAGATTTTATGGAGATTGATTTTGGAATTCAGATGCACTCTTATTGATTGTGCTTGGCCGTACATGTACATATCCTTCAAGATGTATCATGGGGGTGTTGCAACCTAGAAGACACAAATTTGACTAACAAGTTATAAGTACATGAGTACAAAAATTATGGAAAAGTAAAAGAAAAGATTCTTTCATTGTTTTACAAACCCTCCCCCAGGTCCCCTCCACCATGCAGCCCTCGCTCTAGTCTCCTGTGATGACAGAAATACCCAGTTACATCTCTCTTTTAGACGGTTCTCTCCCTCCTCTGCTTCAGTGCAGTATACATTATTGAACCCATCTTACTCAGTCTTTCCCCCGAGTTTTATTTTTTAAATAAAGTTTTACTTTATTACTCTTCCTGCCTCCCTCCGCCCTTGTGTGCCATTGAGTCGGATCCAACTGGCACAGGAGGAGATTGCCCATCCTTCTCCAGGAGAGTATATGGTGTATTCCAACTGTGCATCTTCGGGATTAGAGCACAGCTTCTTGCCACTAGGCCACCAGAGCTCCCTAGGCCTGGGATTTGAATCCTAGGCCTGCTCTTCAAGGAATAAGCTGTTTGACCTTGACCAGGTCACTATGTGGAGGTTTCCATGTGAAACCAAGGCCCTTACCTTAAGAATCTGGATGTTTATATGGAGTCCTGCTAAGCCCACCTTGGCAGGCCAGTTTCCCCTGTCCAGGTGCTGTAGGGAGCAAGATGGGACTGAGAGCAGTGCATGAGGCTGTAAAATAGAAGCTTCATCGCAGGCTTGGGAACAGAGGCTGGGGAAATGGTTTAAAAAAATGCATTACCAAAGTGAGAAGAAGCCTTCTAAATGGCAAAAGATTTCTTCATGGCTCAGCTTGACAAAAACTCTCGAAGGGAAGCTTATATTTTTCCCTTTTTCTGCAGGCCAAGGACTGTAGTCATTCTTGTGTGAGTGGGGTGGGACCCTGGTGACCAGCAGCTGTCATGATGGTTTTCTTCGGCATTCCTGTCACTGTTGAGGGTGGGTGTCATTGTGTAGGTGCTGGGTGCAGCTTTGCCTGGCATTGCTCTGGGTCCCCAAGAACAGTGTCTTAAAAGGCCTGGATTGAGCAGGCCACCACTAGAGCATGCAGAAAGTACCTCTGGATATGGTGATATGGCCCGCTAGCTGAATGCTTTGAACACTGGCCACATGTTGGGCTGAAATGAGTCATGTCAGTTGTAATTAGTGTAATTAGTTACCTTAGCACAGCTGAATGAACCACTGCCAGGCCCACACCACCCTCCCAGCCATTGCTGTGTTTGAGTCTATTGTTGGAGCTGCTGTTGAGGGTCTCTTCTATTTTCACGGACGTAGCACTTAACCAAACATGATGTTCTTCTCCAGGGACTGGCCCCTCCTGAAGACCTGTCGAGGTGTATGCAGTAGTTTTGCCATCTTTACTTCCAAGGAACATTCTGGCTACACTTTTTTTTTTAATTTGTTTTTAAGGGAGCTCTGATGACCTAGTGACAAGAAGCTGCACTGCAATCCCAAAGGTGTGCGGTTCAAATCCACCAGATGCTCTCTTGGAGAAAGAGGGACAATATCCTATACCGATCAGATACAATTTGACGGTACACACCCACACACGAAAAATAAAAAAGAAATTAACAAAATTAAATTAATTTTGATGAAACTTTATAGAGACTTTGGATTTCCATTCATTCATTGTTTCACTTTTCTCTCTGCCCACCCCTCTGCCAATTTGCTCTTCTCTTTGAAAAGTAAAAGAAAAAATTATTTCATTGTTATTCAAACCCTCCGCCCAAGTCCACTCCACTATGCTACCTGTGTTCTGGACTCCTATTATAACAATAATATCTAATCACATATCCCTTTTAAACAGTTTTCTCCCTCATCTGTTTCAGTGCAGTATATATTATTGAACCCATCCTTCTCAGTCTCCCCCAACCTTGAGGTCAGTCCTGTTTTACAACAGTGGTGTCTTGCAGTATTTGTCCTTTTGTGACTGAGATACTTCACCCAGCATAATGTCCTCTAGGTTCACCCATTTTGGTGACCCTGGAGGACATTATACTGAGTGAAATATCTCAGTCATAAAAAAATACTGCATGGAGGCACTGTTGTAAAGCAGGACTGACCTCAGGGTTGGGGGAGACTGAGAAGGATGGGTTCAATAATGTATACTGCATTGAAACAAATGAGGGAGAAAACTGTTTAAAAGGGACATGTGAGTAGGTATTTTTGTCATGACAGGAGTCCTGAACGAAGGCTGCATAATGGAGTGGACCTGGGGGAGGGATTGTAAAACAATGAAAGAATTTTACTTTTCAAAGAGAAGAGTGTACTGGGATGGGAGGGGTGGGCAGGGAGAAAAGTGCAATGAATGAAAATCCAAAGTCTCTGTAAATTTTCATTACAATTAATAATACAAAAACAAAGAGCCACAGTTGAAGTAGGAAGATGTTCCTGCCAAGCATCTTCCTGTGGTCCTTGCTTGTAGTTTAGGAGGTCAGGATTATTTAGGAGGTCAGGTTTGGTGGATCCACAAAGTGGGCACCTGGAGTCTCCAATGTTGATTTTGCTGTCAGCTTTGTCACCTGGCTTCACCACCCACTTGAGATCAAGGACAACAATTTGTGGCTTCACCTGCTTCACTTGAAGCTGACCAAGATCCTACTCAATGCTTCAAACCTTGGATAATTGTTCCAACAGACTCCTCACCCAGCTCCTCTATTCATTTGTTGAACATTTAGTACCTGGATGGTGCCAAGTGGCAAGAAGGCATAATAATAGCTCTTATGGAGTCTCCACCCAGTGTAGGGGAGGAGTAGGTCATAGAGAGAGTTCCAAGCCTTCTGTTAAATCTGTGCAGGACTCAAGACACACTGGGCCTCAGTTCTATTTACGTTTGCATCATCTTGGGGTCTGTGGGTATCTTATGAGAACATGGATGCATTTTAACTTATCAAATTTTTTTTCCGCTTGGGGAGAGGATGTGGAATGTTGAGAGAGTTCTCTCATTTTCCTCCTGTCCTGTTGGTGTTGTGATCTTTGACAGCTGGGCAGGAGTAGAACCAGCCAAGAATGCATTTTTGTGCATTTAGGGGGTTAAGGCACATAGCTTTCCTTCAGATTCTTGGAAGAGTCCTAGATCAGAAAAAGGATCCTTTGGTCTGTGCCTTTTACTTAAACAAGGGCTACTCTTCTCACCTCACAATTAGTCTGTGCACAGAGGTGTCTGAGTATTGACAGCAGCCAGGGTGCTGTGAGCCTAGAGACATTTAACTATGGAAAGTTAAATGCTAGAAAATTGTTAGACACTATCAAGTCTATTTGGACTGCATAGTGACCCATTTGACAAAGTAGAACTGCCTCATAAGGTTTTCTAGGTCATAACTTTACAGGAGCAGATCATGAGCTCTTTGTCACACAAAGCTTCTGGGTGGATTCGAACCTCTAACCTTTCAATTGGCAGCTGAGTGCTTACCTGATTCATCATGAAGGCTTCTTGCTTAGGAATTTATAGTTTGCTTCAACACACAAAGGAGACGCAGGAAATAAGGAATCTTTCTAAGTCTTTAGTGAAGAGCCGTCTAGACCGGCCCTGACCACTGTTGTCTCTTGTTCCAGGTCCGGACATTGTTTGTAAGTGGCCTCCCTGTGGATATTAAGCCCAGAGAGCTGTACCTTCTCTTCCGGCCATTCAAGGTGAGTCGGGTGGTCAGGGTGGTCAGTAGGTGTGGTGCTCTGGTCTGGAGTGGGCAACAGGAAGATAGTTTCTGAAAGGATTTTAGGAAGCATGGTCTAAAGCCTGAGCCTCTACTTCCTCATCTGTAAAGTGGTGATAGGGACTCTGGACAGATTTTACCATATAAAGAATCTTGGGGATTCAGTCCAGCCTTTTTAGTTTGCAAAGGAGAAAATGTAAGAGGTAAAGCCTGTGCCCAGGATTGCAAACTAGTGGAGCAAATGAGAGTTTATGCATGAACTAGTGAATGCTGCCTCGTGATGCCCACCCCGTTCCCTGGCCCATGTGATACTTAGCACCCTGGGGCAGGAGGGTAGAATGGGGCCTTGTGGGCGGAGGAGGGGACAGGAGGAATAGAGGAAAAGGGGGTCTGTGGGAAAGGGCCAGGGTATCACCCCAAAGATGCGACCTTTGCTCATGTTCTGTCCCCTCTCCCCACAGGGATATGAAGGATCCCTGATCAAGCTCACATCAAGACAGGTAATTTCTCTTTTAGGCCTTTGTCTTTTTGCCAAGCCCAATCTGCTGAACTTGGAAGTGAGACCTGTTCCTTTTCCCCTAAGCTTGAGGCATCTGGATGCTGAGACCCACTCCCTCCGTACCGGGCTCTGTTGTGGGTGATGGAGGGAAGCTTCCAAGAGTCCCTACAGGCCATCAGTTTCGTAGGCCCCGGAGGCTGAGAAATCAGGAAGACCTAGAATTAGAGGCCAGGGCCCCCAGGTCCGGCCAGGCTCAAGGGCTGATCCACAGTGACGTGAGGCTGAAGAAATTTTCAACCTGTAGCCCCTTGATTGAACGCAGAGCCTTCCTGTGCCCTTGATACATTGGGGGAAACACTGGGCCTTATATGAGTTTTATTGGAAGGGAGGTATTTCATGCAGTGGAATGAAACTTTGCCAACATTGTTTCCCCACAATGTGGTACCTGGGAGGGAGGATTCTTGACTTTGGTTTTTTCTTTTGTTTTGTTTTTTAATTTTATTATTTTTTCAGTGTGTACCGTCAAATTGAATCTGACTGGTACAGGAGGAGATTGCCCCTCTTTTTCCAGCAGAGCATCTGGTGGATTTGAACCACATTGCTCTGGGATTGCAGTGCAGCTTCCTGCCACTAGGCCACCAGAGCTCCCAATTCTGACTTTTTGAACCTGCTGCTCTCATTTAATATAGGAAAGATTCGGACAAGAGATTTTAATTTATTTCCTTCTCTCTCTGGTCAGCAGGCCACGTGTGGCTTCTAGTTAAATGATGGGGCAGTTTTGGGTGAGGGGTGGACTATTGGGAGAGATGCAGGGTGTTCTCTCTTTTTCCTACTAGCCTGTTGGTTTTGTGATCTTTGACAGCCGGGCAGGAGCAGAAGCAGCCAAGAATGCACTGAATGTGAGTAGGTTAAGACCAGATCTTTCTATGAACCCATATCTGTCTCCCAGACGGCGAGTGTCCCTGTTCCTTCTTGTACACCCCGTCCCCCACTTTGTGTCACACTGATGGGCAGGCACTTGCTTCCACACCATCCCACCATGCCAAGTGCTGTTGATACCTATGGGGCATGAACAGCCATTCCTCTGCTTCATTCCACACACCCACCCACCCCCAATTTGAAGAAAGAAGCCTGGATTGATGGTCTGAGGCCTACAGTCTTTGTCTCTCTCTGCTTTCCATGTAGGGTATTCGTTTTGATCCCGAGAACCCTCAGACCCTGAGGCTAGAGTTTGCCAAAGCCAACACCAAGATGGCCAAAAGCAAGTTAATGGCTACACCAAATCCCAGCAGTACGCACCCCGCCCTGGGAGCACACTTCATCGCACGGGACCCCTGTGAGTGACATGCACGGCTGTCTTCCTGGTACTCTGTACATGGCCATGGCTGGAGGCCCTCAAGAAATTGCCTTCAGAAAACCAGGAATTCAGATTTGGGTGGAGAGAATCTGTTCTGACTCTGTCCTTCTCCAGCGGCTTTTTCACCATTCATCTCTGAAGTCTGCATCTTCTTCCTTAAGAATGGCTGAGCTCCCACCTGGTCAGGGCTGCCTGATTTCCCTAAAACCTTATCAGATTTCTCCTGGTGGAGGTGGGCTGGCACCATCTGGGAGCATCTCAGAACCTAAGCTGAATTAACATGGCTTTTTCCCAGTGGCGGTCTGACTTGAGTAGGAGATACTTATAGCTCAATTATAGTACTAAGATTTTTTTCTGTTGTTTAAAAAAGAATGGGTATAGGTATTCTGATGATATGGTCTGTTGTCTCTCGCTGCAGATGACCTGATGGGAGCTGCTCTAATCCCCGCATCCCCTGAGGCCTGGGCACCCTACCCACTGTACACCACAGAGCTGAGCCCAGCCATATCACACACCACGTTCACTTACCCGGCTGCCACCGCTGCCGCTGCCCTCCATGCTCAGGTGAGACCCTTGGGGCAGGTCAGGGCCAGAGAATGAGGGCTCTAAGCTGGCCAGGCCTCATACCTAGTGCTGTAGCCAGAGTGTTGTCTTCTCCAAGTCTAGGCCTTGGGGATCTACATTCTTGTTTTTAGGATTTGGGATCTGACTGAGGGGAGGGAGAAGATCATCCAGGTATTGGAAACAGAATGAATGCTGGGGGTATAGTTGGACACTGCTGGGTTCTACCCTCTGGACATCCCAGGGCCAGGCACAGTGTTGTAGTTTTACTTAAATATACGCATTAGAAGGACTTTGCAACCTTATAGAACCCCCTCGTGTTAGTTTCCTATGAGTACTATGTGTCCCTAACATAAACCAGTTACATGTAAAAATACAGCCCTGTGGTTTGTCTTTAGTGATACTCAGATCCCAGGCTGAGTGTAAGTCTGCAGAGCTAGACTGTCTGCCTCAGTCTTTGTTTTTATGAACTTGAGCCAAGTGATCAGACATTGTACTTAGGTGTTCACTCGTTGGTAAGGTAGGAATAATAATACAGTATACCTCAGAATTGTTGGGGGAATTAAATGCTAGCATGCATAAAGTGCTAGAACCCTACCAAGCATGCCAGGCATGTCCTTATGCTGTTGTTCTCATCACTGCTGGACCCTCTTCACTGTGAACCTGCCCTGGGGTGGGAAAGGACAGGGCACGGATGTTGCTGGGGTGTTAGATCTGCCCCGAGAGGCCACTAGAGCTGAGGGCCAAATGGTCAGGCACTGGGTCTAGTCAGTGTCCAGGTCTGACAACACGCTTCTGGAGGATCTTCAGAACATGCAACAAGGATGTCCCGTCCAGTCATGAGGACACCTCACGTTGACGAGAACTGAATGGTATGTGATAGGACGCTACTGTGGGTGATAGCTGAAGACCAGCCCTGCTCAAGTGGGGTCTGTGATGAGCGAGGTGGCTGAAGGAACTTGCAACCAGCCATGGATCCTGCTGAGGGGGAGAAGAGGGGGGTTGTGAGCCAGACTGGGGCAGAAGAACCAGAAAAGTAGAGCTCTTAGAAACTAGCAGCCGGAGGCTGGGAGGGGTAAGTCCATACTCTGACCAGATACTGTATGCCTTCCCGTCCTCAGGGTCTCCGAGGGGCTTAGTGACAAGTGAGTTCTCCGTATTCTGAGGAGGGAAAATGCGATTTCAGAGCCTACCTTGGCCTAACCATTTCCCCTAGAAGGATTCTCCCTGACTAGAGCAGCGTTAGATTGTACAGGGGCAAGATAGGACTTAAACCTGGCAGTGTTCCCAGCAAAGCACCACAGACAACTGGAAAATTAATTGGAGGGCAGGAAGCGGGTACAGAGCATTTCCCTGGGGAAGTTGCCTGGGAATTTACTGCAAACTAGGCTCTGTAGCACACAAGGTGGTTCCTAGTCCTCTGACCTGTGCATGTGGGACACTGGCAGCTACTCTTGTCCCCTCTGAGGGGTGGAGGTATCCTCTGAGGGTGTGTGGATGGGTGACAGGCTCCTGGAGGCTGAGCTCCTGGCCTATGAGCCTGGCTGTGCCACCAGCACGTGACTGTATCTCTGAGCTCATGTCTTTGTCTCTAGAATGAGAGGGTTGGATCAGAGCAAATGGAGATGGTCTGACCCATCTGCTCTGGGATGCTAGGTCCTGGTGATGAGGTGGTAGATCTTGGAAGCCAGGGCAAAGGGTTTGTCAGATTAACAGCAGGGGGGGCCTCTGCCTTTTGTAGACCCAACATTGTCTCTCTTTAGCTCTATGGAGCTCTTGAAAGTAGCTATCTCTTTGCTGTTGTCTCCATTTCCAGCTTCCTCTCATTGTACTCGCTGGGCTGTCCAGCGCAGAGTCCAGCTGTTACTATTGGTTGCTATCTTGTTATTTCCAACTCACATCAATGCGACTGTACAGAGTACTGCTCTGTCGGGTTTGCACAGCTGTGAAGCAGATTACCAGGCCTCTTTTCCATGGCATCTCTGAATGAGTTCAAACCCCTAGCCTTTTTGTTCATAATAGAGTGTTTACCTGTTTGTGCCACCCAGGAATTCCTTTGTCTCCATTCACATCCTGACGCTGACTTTCAGCAGCTGTGTGACCTTGGGCAGGTTACTTTCCCTCTCTTTTTTATTGATTTCTTTGTAAAATGATGATGATAATAATATCTCCTTCCTTAGGGTGGTTATTAGCAAAAATTTATTTTCATTGTGAGGTTTTTCTTAAGTCACCTCTGAGGCTGAAGGCCTCCACAGTGAGTCCCTGCCTTCTGGTATCTAAGCAAGGATGGGAAAGGGACAACGCCAGAGAACAGGGACAATTTAGGATAGATAGAAAAATAGCAAGAGGTTAGCTCATTAGTGCTGCCTGTGCTAATCAGTCTCTCTGGACATCCATTTCCTCATCTGTAAAATGGACTGTTAAAACCCAAGTACAGGAGTAGGTATTAAAATGTTTCCACATCAGAGCATTTTCTTTTCCCTCCGACAGCTCCTTTCCCCAGCTCCTTCTGATAGTGTCACCAGAAAGTACTTGAAGGAAGGGGTCACTAAAGTTCCCAGGTGTCTTATTCTGAAACCCAAGGACCAAGGCTTTTGGGGCCTCAGGGTAGGAGCGTAACTGACAGAAGGTATGAGGTAAAAGGCAATGGGATGAGAACAGCAGCTCCTTTCTCTCCCCAGCGTTCACACCCTGACTGCCCCAGCCTAAGCAGAGGGGTCCACACTCACTCTCTGGCCACAGGAACTGGGGGCTTGAGAAAGCTATGCTGTAGTCCTGAAGGCACAAAGAAGGGGCAGTCTGCACCCTTGCAATTTACTGCCTTTGTAAGCCTGCTGGAGAATGAGCTGCGAGTTTCTTCAGAGAAGAGGCGGAGGTAGGGGGTTGCGGCTGGGGATCATCAGTCCCTGGAAGTGATATCAACTCCCTTGCTCTGTTTTCTTATCTGTGTAATGAGGGTGGAGTTGCTGGGTTTTGCACACACCAGGTTAGCACTTTGAGTCCACTCAGAAACTCCTTGGAAAAAAGACCTGATTGACTTCCAAAAAAACCAGGCACTAAACTCTACCACAGGTTGGTCCCTATCAGATGCGTGACAAAAAGCAAAGGCAAGCATTTTCTCTCTTCTCTTCCCCTTGGCTTATTATGGCACTCCTCAGAAAGCCTGGCAGGTGGTTGGGTGCAGGTAAGTGAGTACGTCCATTGATAGGAAACTGTCACAAACATGATTATGGGCAGTTACTCTTTCTAAAATTTAGGTATTGGGACTTTTATCCCCCTAACCTTTAAGCTGTGTAATGAACTTCATTAAGATTATGCACTCCCCCAAAAAGATTCCTGTTGACCTGCCCAAGCATTACAGGTGTTTTTTTTCCCTCCTCCATACTTTCCCCTCTCTCCAGTCCCTGACAAACACTACTTTGCTCTGTTCTTATTCTACATGTGTCCTTTAAGTGTAATAGTACCATATTATCTTGTGCCTGACTTCTTTCACTGACCATAGGGTTCTCAAGGTTCATCCAGATGTTCTAGCATGTGTTAAGTGAGCCTAAACTGGAAATGCAAATTAAGAGATAATGTGCTTTGAACTCGAGCTGAAATGACAGCAACACAATTTGACACACAAAACAGAATTCACAGTTATGTTTTGAACTTTTAAACAAATCTCTAACAGACAAGAGAACATGAAATTGTAATACCTGATTTAAATAGTTCATACTATTATGTTTTGTGTACTGTACAGCCAAAGCAAAACAACACTGACATAAAGTTAAATAAAATTATAATTTTTTAGGTACAATCATTATCTACATAAACTCTGACTCAAAGTTCTGTGCTAATCATAAGCCTCATTTCTGTTAATGATTGCATCTCTAGAGCATAAATGTTTAAAGTTGGAACTTAAGAATAAGTTTGTAGAAATACATATGTATTTATGCTTCATATAATATTCGTTTGAAGAGTCCTGCCAAAAAAAGCTCTATCTTTAGTATTTCATTGAAATTAAAAAATCAACTACAAAAACACACAACTCATTTCTATTTATGGCAGGTATATTTCATTGTATGTATGTGCTACATCTTGGTTTGAGTCCAGCTTCATTTTTTTGCATCCAGTTGTCCACACTCCATTTGTTGAAATTCAAATCCATTTACCAAAAGTGAATGTGAGAGGTTTACTTCCAGATCCTCAAATCCATTGGCTTATATGCCTGTCCCTGTTTGTATATCATACTGTTTTGATTATTGTGGCTTTGTAATGCATTTTAAAATTAAGCAATATGGCTTTGTTAACATTATTTTGAACCTTTTGTAATTTTTCTGCAACTCATACTAGGTAGAATTGACCTATTAAGTCTTCATTCAGTTCATGATGTCTTTCCATTTAATTAGGTATTTATAGTTCTTTTTTCATGAGTATTTAATAGTAAAGTTTATTCCTATACATGTTATTCTTTTAGATCTATTTAAAAGGATACTTTTTGTAATTTTCTTACTGTTTGGTGGTGGTGTGTAGGTACATAACTCTTCTCTCTGTATTCATCTCATATTCTGCAACTTTGCTACATTGTTCATTAGCCCTATAGCTTTAGTAAAGGTTTGGGACATCTGCTGTATATGGTGTCCTGTTAGCCTCAAATAGATAGCTTTACTTCTTTTCAGAGTCGGAGACTTTTTATTCCTTTTTCTTGCCTGCTTACTCGGGTCCGCACGTCCAGCACAATGTGGAATAGCAGGGATGAGAGCCGGCATGCATACCTTTTGTCTAATATTAAAAGGGATGTCTTCACTACAATCCCAGAGGTGTGTGGTTCGAATCCACTAGATGCTTTGCTGGAGAAGGAGGAGAATCTCCTCCTGTACCAGTCAGATCCTATGTGATGGTATACACACACAAAATAATAAAAATTAATTTTTTATGTATATAAAAAGGGAAGTCTTTCATTGTTGAGTGTGTTTATTGTGGTTTTCCATAAATGCTCTTTATCATGTTGAAGAATTTTCCTTTTATCCCTAGTTTGCTGAGTCTTTATTTTTTTCCACGAAGAATATTTGACAGAGTATCTTTTCTACATTAGAGATGATCATGAGATTTTTCTCCCTAAATTCCATTAAGGAGCTCTGATGGCCAAGTGGTAAGGAGTGGCTCTGAGAACCCAAAGGCAAGGGGTTCAAATCTACCAGCTGTTCAGGGAGAGAAAGTGGGCAGACTCTTCCTGTGTAATTTACAGTCTCTGAAAACCACTGGGGTTGATTCTGATTCAGCAGCACATAACAATGCCACATACTGATTGATTGTCTCATGGTGACCCACCCTTAGTACTGGGATAAAGCCCACTTGGTCTTGTATGATTTAGATAGAGTTTGTTGGAATTTCCTTGAGGATTTTTGTATGTTTATTCCTAAAGCATATTGATCTCTAATTTTCTTTCGTTGTGTCTTTATCTGGCTTTCATGTGTAAGTCATGCTGGCTTAACAGAAAACTATTAGGACTTTATTTTTCATGTTAGTAAATGTTAGCTGTATTTTGGAATTGCTAGCTGGTGTACTTTGTATGAATGTCGTTCTCTGCCAGTGGTAAACTGGGTTTTGTCCACAACTTTTTGCTGCTTGTAGACTATCCTGCAGTACATGCCCTTGCTCACATTCTTCTGGCACTTGTCCAGTTTCTTTTTCTTATGATAAATTCCTAGAATAGTTTCAATGTCAAAAGTGTAGACCTGGCCAGTCTGCGTTAAGATTCTGTATTATTTTAATTACTTAGTGTTGAGTGAGGCCCCATATTTATTGGCTTTTCGTGTTTCTCGCCTTGTGGATTCCTTCCTTCTTCCACTCCAATTAGTGTGTTCTCTCATTTAAGATTTGAGACAAGACTGGCTCACTTGGTGTTGATCTTGGCCTCCTGCAGAAAACTGGAGGCCCTGGAGGACACGTCTGATGTGCTGGGGTGTGGGTAAGAGGTTCTCCATATTCCTTGATCTGAGCTGGGACAAGAAGGGAGAGTTCTGGAAAGGACCACCATGCCACTCTAGTAGAAGACTTTAGACCCTTGGTCTATGCTGGACATCTGCGGGAGGGGAAGGCAGCCTCCCTAGATGCCTTCTGTCCCCTTCAGAGGCCCTGCTGTCCTGGGATCTCTCCTCTTCTCCTGCCCCAAGGAGTCTGCTGACTTCATCTCAAGTTTGGAGACAGGTGTGTGAGCACCATGTAGACTGGATCATGCAGGTTCCTGAGGGTGGCCTTAGAGAAGTCCTCAGCCTCCCTAATAGTAAGGAGAGGGGCCTGGCAGCTTCCTGGGGTTCTGTCTCGGACACTGACGGCACCTCCCCAGTCAGAGGCCCTTGTAAAGATGCCCTGGTTGGAGGCTGAGTGAAGACAGGGCAGCCTGGCAGGGCGCCCAGGGCTGGAACACACTATGAGTTGCTGGTCACAACACCACTGCTGGCCCTCATGTGTCCCTCTCCTGAAAGGAGTGTTGACATCCAGCCTGCCTTCCTCTGAGAGGGCTTCCCACAGCTCAGTGGTGGCAAAAAGAGGCTCCTTCCCACTCAGCTGTCATCAAGGAAGGGCGGAAACCAGTTTCAGGTGTTCAGGAGACAGGATAGCACCTAGAGCTCAAAGGTGAAGAGTCTCCTGAACCTGAGGACAGACAGGGCTCGGCAGAGGGCACTCCAGCATCTTTGGGGTGGACTGCACCGCGGTTGAGGCCGTGCCATGTCCTCACAGCCTGGGGAAGGATCCTGGGGTTGAGTAGGCAGCCAGCAGCCTGGTCCTGCTGTGTCCCAGGGTCTGAGGATAACCAGACCCTAATTTCCGCTTGAGCTCCAGGGAGGATGTGATGGCAGAATCCTGCACTGTGCCTTCGGTCCATTAGTCACTTGCTGCCAGGAAGTGATCCACAGCTCATCCATAGCGGGTTTTCAGAAGCTGTAAATCACACAGGGAGAGACGGCCATCTTTGTTCCATGGAGCCACGCATTATAGACTGGGCCACCAAAGCCTCAGACGTGGAGGGTGGACAGGATCAGGTTCTTGACAACCTCTCTTCCTTTAGTCCCAGCAGCCTGGCATTGTTTGAAATCTGTTTGTGGGTCACTCCTCTTGGCAGTAGCTGCTCATTTTCACAATGACTCCCCTTTCCCAGAGGCCTAGATCTCTGCCCGGGTCCTCATCCCTCCTCTCCCTCTCAGGGCCTTTTACCCGGCCCCGGCCCTCCCAGGCACCTTCCCTGCTGGCTAGCTGCTGGACAGCGAGCACCACTTGCCTTCCTAACAGCCAGCTCATAGGAAGAGGGGACGTATGGGATTTCCTTGACTGGTTTCTGGGAGTCTTTTTCTGCTGGATAGAGAGAAATGGCTACTGCTCTGTGGGTTCGTTCAGGTTCCATGGACAGATCCAGGATATAGGGACCTGCCTGGCATGGAATGCTCTGAAACTGCATTCCACCACCCCGAGGGTTTGTAGACTCCTTGTATTCAGATTTGTGATGGGACAGCAGTGGGTAGGGAGGCTGGAAGGGGGAATCAAGCACCAGCTAGCTGCCTCTCCCCCATAGCTTCCTTGGAGAGCCACCCAGGATTCCTGAAGGTCACTGTGAGCCATGCCCCTGGGAGACGACACCAACTTGGATTTTTAATGTATTTTCATGTTCTTATCTAACTGCCCCATGTCTGTCTTCTACGTCTCCATCTGAGTCAGAGCAAAATGTTTTATTAGGTTAATGCTTATAATTTTAGGAGTTCCCACTCTCCCAGTAAAGGGAAGATTGTTGACTCCCTGGCCCCCGGCTGTCAGTACCCCACCTGGCATTTGTGAATCTGAACGTTTATTAAATAGACTTAACTCATTTGAACCTGCCCTTCAGAGGCAGGTCAGGTGGTGTGCTGTTTATTTTCAGGATGGAGAAAGTGATGTCGGAGGTGAGTAGTAACTGGTCCCTTGTCTGTCAGACAGTGAGGAATCCAGGACCCCAGGAGGGCCCTGATTGATGACCATGATACTGGGAGGGGACAATCCAGCTAGCACCCAACTTTAGATTCTCTTGCAGATGCGCTGGTACCCTTCTTCTGATACCACCCAGCAAGGATGGAAGTATCGTCAGTTCTGTTAGCCCTTCAGTAAGTGTCAGCCCCAGAATTCGGGTTGAAAAGCATCATTGGTCCTGGCTTTCCCCAGTGTTCGGGCTCTTCCTCTCCCTGCCTGAGTCTGAGAGCATGCTCATTCTACAGCCGCACCCCAAGTGTGTGTTCGTCTACACCCTGACCCTGTGAGCATGCCTATTCTAGGTCCACGCCTAGTCTCTTTCCCCTCTGTCTTCCCATCTGTTACCCCTCTGCCTTTAATCTGCACAGACGCTTCAGGGTCCTGAAAGAACACAGAGGGCAGGGCCTCCCATAGCCTCACACCTCTGCTCACGACCACCTCTCTCCCCTTCCAGGTCCTGTCACCACGACTTGAAGCCCTTCCCACTGGGGTTCCCAGGAGTCGGTTCTGGGGAATCTGTCCGTGGCACCCAGAGCTTCCGCTATCCCCCAGGCAGCCTGTGGAGAGAGCTGCTACTGCTTCCAAAGACTGTGAATTTTAAGCCTGACTCAGTGGACTGCTTCCTCTTTCCTGTCCCTCCTTTTCCTCAGTCCTGTCCTTCCCCAAGTCCTTTCTCCATGGTCTCAGGGAGAGTTCAGGAGCCACCTGGCTGAGACACCAGGCCCCTTCCCTTTTAGGCCTCACTGGGACCAAGCAAGGCCCAGCCTTCTGCCCAGACTTGCTTTGGTAGCTCCAAAAGGAAATGAGGCATTTAATTTTGCATGTTTTCTGGCATGAATGAAGACACTTAAACTTGTGTATATGTGAGTGTACAGTTTGTTCTCACATTGGGGTCACCATAGCAACAGGTCCTGACCACTAATGGCCCATTATCCCTGATCTGCTCCTCACACCCCTCACCCGCCTGTCTGCTCCAGTGAGGATGTCCGCTGTGTGTCCACTCTCCTACCCCCCACACTTACACGCTGACCAGCAACAACAAAAATTCTAGCAAATAGAATATTCTCCCCCCAGTCGGAATCTTCCACTTCTGCTCAGAGGGGCCAAGGACTGTCACTACGGCCTCTCCCTGCCGGTCACTTTACCTCACCACAGCACACGGTCCTCACCACAGCACACGGTCCTAACTCCTTTCCAGATTTCCAGACCAACCAAAAAATGAAAGTATTTTTGTACCCTGTGTAACAAAATATTTATGCATCATAAAGGATTTTTCGTGTGTGTGTGCAATTAATTATTCAAGAGACCTTGTTTGCCCTGTCAGATGAGTTTAATGTTTAGTTTGAGGCATGAAGAAGAAAAAGGTTTCTGTTCTTCAGCAGTGAGCCTTTTATTTTTTAAATTTTTATTATTTGTTTTTGGTCAGGTATTACTTTAAGAAAAATGAGATGAAGGAAGAGCTGTGCAATTGTTTTGTGAGCAGACCAGTGTTTTACCTTGAGCTGCAGCTGGGACTGTCTTGGTGGTGGCAGACGTGAGAGACTAGGTGGCTGTTTGTTAATTGCTGATCCTGTGAGAATGTGAAACTGGATAATACATGAAATGCAAAATAAAAATTTAAAAAATCATCCAAAGTGATTATTCTGACCCTTGCTTCCATCATCCTAAGGGCTTGACTAGAGGTGAAATGTTAAGGCTGGTGGCGAAAGAAGTCAAGTGGGCCAGTTGCCTGGCCTTTTGAGAGAGAAGACATTGAGAGTTCGTGTCTTTTCTTTCAGTAATTTAAGAAACACAATCCTGGATGGTAATTGAATGACTTGCCCAGAGGCTGCACAGTGAGAGAATGAATCTGTAGCCCACCACACTGCAAAGCAAGAATTTTAGGGACAGGAACTGAGATTATCCAGATCATGCTGGTGTTTCCCAAACCTTAGTTAATAAAGGGAGCTCTGGTGGCAAAGCCTGTAGGGCACTGGGCTGCTGAGTCAAAGGTGGCACATTGTGGGCAGTTCGAATCCACCAGCTCCTCACAGAAGAGAGATTGGCATTCTCCTTATGTGGTTTACAGCCTCTGAAAACCCACTGGAGGGTCAGCTGGGAGTTAGCTCTGAGCTTGAGTTCAAGTTTTTTTATTTAGTGAGGTGTTTTACACCCCACCCTCCCACCTGCTGCCGTTTGACTCTGCGACCCTTTTTAATGTCGATGTGGTTCTGGTGGTGAAGTAGTTGAGCGCTCCTCAGTCAGTGGAAAGGTGAACAACCACTCCACAGGAGGAAAGCGGGCAGTCTGCTTCCATGAAGATTGGCAGCCTTGAAACCTGATAGGACAATTTCTACACGGTCCTGCAGGGTCACTTTGGGTCAGAATTAACTCCACAGCAGTGGGTTTGGTTTGGTTTAGTAAGAAGGGGCTGTGGTTGGAGTGTTGGGTGCTAGCCCTACAGCATGGCCTCAGAAGGAAAGGTGGGATCCAGAAATCTGGCCCAGAAGGTATTAAATTACTCAACAGAGAGAGAACGGGGGCATGAAAGTCCAGGGAGTGAGCCACTGGCAAACTCTGGCTTGCACAGGTTCAGGATGTTAGCAGTTGATCCTGCTTTGTCTCTTGTGATTTTGGGCTCAGCTTACTCATTTCTGATAGTGCTTGAAATGCCCGAGTCTCCTGGAGATGCTGTAGTTCTGACCAGAGGGTTTGCTGTTTGTCTTCCCCTCCACCCATCCTCTTTCTTCACAGCTGCTCCTGGAGGGGGAGGGAAGAAGTGCCCGAAGCCTCCATTCACACTGAGATTCATTCCTTTTCCAGACCAAAACGGAAGTGGCCACGGCTGGTCATGGTCCCTCCCTTACCTACATGTTGGGTGGCCAAATGCCCCTCTTCACCCCATTTCCTGTGTTTAGTGCTTGGGGTCTAAGTTGTTCACTGCTGGTCTAGGGGTCAGCTGCTAACGATGGGTGATACAGTAGTGCCAGCTGGGATCTGCCTGAGGTGAGAAACCTGGCCAGCCTCAGGCTCTGAGGTTACCAGAGGCAGGTGGGTAGGCCTCTTGGAGCTAAGAAAAGGGGATCTGGTGGCACTGGAAGGAGAGGGGTGTTGATGCTGCCCCTGCCTTTTCTGTCTCATGTCCTCCTCTGGACCAGCCTGGAGCTCTGACAAGGCCAGTTGAGGCCTTCCTGGGCAGCAGCACCGCCTAGTGCTGTGCGTGGGGAGGCCCCTTAGCCCTGCAGCCCCCACTCCCAGGGTGGAGCCTATGCTTGACCTACTTGTCAGGAACCACTGGGTCTTCCTGAGGAGGTGAATTATTTAACTGAGCCTTTCTGAGAGGGGCTAAGTAAGCTGTTCTATAATTTAAAGGCCTCTGTGTGGCTGGCTTCCCAGGGGGCAGCTTCCTTCATGCTTGGTCCGACAAGGCCAGGCCTGGGCCTGAGGGGAGTGGGAGCGACCTGGAAGCCGTCTCAGAGGGAATTGTTCAGCTAGATGGGGTCTTTCTGGACAGTGGATGGTCATTTTTAGACTGACTTTGTGAGGAAATGTGCCTCAAGTTGAGGGGCTTCCCCTGTGATGCCAGCTACCCTGGAGTCAAGTTGCTGCTTCTCGACTCCCCACTCTGCTCTCCCCACCTTTTTCCAGTGTGTTTAATCCTCATCTCTGATTGCAAGTGAAAGGTCTCTTTCCTTTCTAGAAAGAATGTTGGCATCTTGGAATAGCCTTCCTGCAGCACTGACATCTCCACATGACAAAGAAGCTGACATTTTAAGTGCAGCATCTTCCGCCCCGCCCCCCCATAAGGCTTCTTGTGGGACTGAGGAGCCCCTGCTGCCCCCAGTATCTTGGCCTGGAGCCAGTTCAGTATCTTCTGAGGCAAAGCCATGTCACCTCTGAGATGTTTGGGTTTTTTTTGTTGTTGTTGTTTTGTTTTTTTCTTTTCAGTATTTCTGCCTGGTCAGCATTATCAGAGACAAGACTTGTTTTGGCACCTTGACAGGAGAACAGAGTCACTGAGTTAATGATAAACCAAAAGGTTAGAGGTGCCAGTTTATCCAGAGGTGCCTCGGAAGAAAGGCCTGGCAATCTACTTACAAAAACAACTGAAAATCTATGAGGCTTAGTTCTGCTCTGACATGCATGGGGTCTCCATGGACCAGTGGTCACTGGTAGTCTGGTTCATGGCTGAGGAGGTAGGTGCCCCAGAGGGTCTTCCTTCGGCTATAGTCTGACACTGAACTTAGAGAAATCTGTGCTGTAAAGGCTCAACCCCCTGGCAGAAATGAGATAGCCTTGAGAAAGGCAGAGCTCCTCAGAGTATTAAGAAGGATGCTAGAAGGAAAGGAAGATGGGAGGGAAGACTTCCTGCAAAGGTGTCAGTAAGAGAGGGCCAAACCTCTACCAGCTGCAAAGCTTAACCTTCCAGGCCCGTCCCTACCAGGCCTCCAGAGGGGATTTCCTCCAGAACAGGCCCACTCCCCAAGATTTCTTCTAGAACAAGAAGTACCACGAGAGCTGGGGGCCCAGCCTGTGACAGGGAAGCTAGGCAGGTCACTGCATGAGTGAGTTCCAGGACTGGCAGGAAACAGGCATGAGACAGCCTTTCCTCTGGGCCTTGTTGACTATCAACAAAACGTCCCATAATCCCTTGCCCCCCAGCTCCCTGGCCCTTGTGTGGACAACATGTGTGGCTGTCCAATTCTCTGGCTTCTGGTTGTGTTTGGTGATGGAACCCCTGTAGGAAGGAGCCACTGGGTGAGGTCAGGTACCACTGATGGACCCACAAGATGGCTCTAGGAAAACAGGACCAGAGTGTTAGCTTACAGGGGGCTGGGTCCACTCCATGCCCATTTTGTAGGAAGTTGCAGCACAGACAAGTCAGAAATCACTTCATGGTAAACTTGACACCTAGTCTGACCAAAACTGGGTTATATCTGTGCTAATAACAGCTGCCCATCCTTCAGTGTATCTCTTTACTGTTAGTTCACCACCACACCCTCACATTGCTGCCTACCAGTATTTCCTGTTTTGTGCCTTGCGGCTCATAGGTGCTATGGACAGTGGCTCTGAACCTTGTCCTGGTCTGGGCCATCCTCACTAACATACGTGAGCCCATTAATAAGGCTATTGTGCCTTCCTCTCTCTTACTGATCTTCCTTTGC